GCAGACATACTTGCATAGAAAGAATTTTTCATCAACTCCTTGCAGCTATTAATAATATATTCCTCTTTCTGATAATGACGTTGTTTTTTTATTTTTTGTTACAAATGTTGCCCACCTACGCGAATAAAAATTTGACAACGCTGTAGTATTCTCTTTCTGACATTGCGAATTTCTTGTGGATTTCTATTAATTTCTGCAACAACATTCCTAATGCAGTTTACCAGAACATCAAGTGTAGTTATCTCAGTTGCATAAATTTTTTGTTTTAATCTTCTCCAAGAATAAAAATTTAGCGGAGTGAAAAGTCAGATGATGATATATGCAGCCGAGCTATTGTTAAGAGAAGAATTCGTTGAATCACTCTAAAGATAGTAAACAACATACATAAAAAAATCTCTTAATATCATCTATGAACAACACATTTAGAGAGAATTTTACAAATTGATATTATTAACTTTTGAATAAATGATTTAACAAATGTGACTTATGTTTATAGAAAAAAAAAATGGTTGTATTATTTTTGAGAGAGTAAAATAGAAATACCTGAGACACTTCTGTATAGCTGTTATTTGTCGTGGCTTTGAACTGAGCACGTATACTTGAAGTATACTCGAAGATTTCGTAGAAAGCGAACGAAGAGTAGGTACTCGTAGTCTCCTCTTTCTCGTGTCTCTTTATCGCACTCGATTTGATGCGATAGATGAGAACGAGAAGGAGGACGAGGAGGAGGAAGAGGAGGAGGAGGTGGAGGAGGTCGACGACAGGGCGAATAGAATATCGAGTCGACGATACGACATCAATAGGGAGAGAAAAAAAAGGAAGGTTGAAGGAAGAAGGAAGTAACAAGAAAGAGAAAAAAAGAAGGCGTATCAGAGGCGACTTAAAATTTTCACGAGTCACTCGAGTCGGCTTCCAGTCTCCCGAAATCTTGCAATTTGGCGGGATCCATCGTACCTGCCAGCAGGGGTACTTGGAAAGAGGTCTGCTCCGGAAACGAGGAGGGTGGTCGACTAAGCGGGAGGAGGAAGAGGAAGAGGAAGAGTAGTATGAGGCCTTTGCACGCTGAAGAAGGTGGCCAACCACCTTCTGAGTGGGCGACCCTCTGGCAGACGATCCTCTTCGTGTTTACGTCTACTTTCGAAGGAAAAAGCAAGATGATGTATAGATATATATATATATATTGCGAGATGGAAAGAGATAAAAAAATGGAAAATCGTGTCTTATCAAAGGAATGGTTGGATGCTTAACATCCTATCTCTAGAGCAAGCTCTCTTCTTTCTTACTCTTTCTCACTCGAAGAATCACCGACCGGTTCTTCTCTTCTCTTCTCTTCTCTTCATCTTTGCCTCTTTCTATTTCTTTTTGTCGAGACGTCGAGCTGTTTTCGGCAATTGCTACCGGGTCTTGTCAAAAAGTTGAAAGAGAACGGCCCGTTGAAAAGAGGTACTACGGGATTTCTAGCTCGTCTGAGAAGGAGGTAGAGGAGCAGAAGAAGAAAGCTTCAGGGAGGGAAAGAGGGGCTAGAGAGCGAAAGATGTAAGAGGTGGAGGAGGACATCTTAAATTTTTGACGAAGGCACTCGCGAGCAATGGCAAGCAACCCAGCGAGCAATAAGAACCCAACGCCGTCCGTTACTACAAGCTAGCAAGCAAGCAAGCTAGCTAGCTAGCTAGCTTGCTAGCGCGTTTCACTCGAGTCTGCAATTTCGCGGATGCATCTTGGCTGACGCTCTGGCTAAAGCAGCTGCGAGAATTACGGTAGGGGGAGGGAGTGAGGGATGAGGTCTTCGCCCGCTTTAGAAGAACTTCTAAAGTGTGCCTTCCACCTCTCTCCCCCAGCCCTATCCTCGGTCCACCTTGCCACTTCACTATATTTTGGCACTCTAGAATTTCGTTCTACCTATCTTTCTCTTTCTTTATCTTTCTCTTTCTTCCTTTCTCTGTTCTTCCCTTCGCTCGTCAGGCAGCGCCTCTATCTATCTCTCTCCCCTTCTTCTTCGCCGAAAGCGAAGAATGGCGAGACGCCGAGCAGACCCTGGGGCCCTCACTCTCTCTCTATCTCTCTCTATCTCTCTTTATCTCTCTTTCATTCTCTGTCGCGCGAGAGAGACGGATAAACGCGAGGTATTGATCCTGGAACCCCTTGCTTCTCGTAACGCGCCACCCCAAGCACGGAATTCTCCTTCCACCACCGCAACGAACCCTAAACTTTCTTCTTCCTTTTCCCCAGACGTCGTCTACTACTCTTCTTTCTCTCTATATCTTTTTCACTCTTTCCATGGTTTTTTCCTCCTTTTCTCTATGTATAATCGAATTGAAGAACACGCGGGTTTCTCTCGGCACAAGAACCCACGACTTGGCTTAACCTTGCCCTCGAATTTGTATGCATGTACGCATCACACACCCTATCGCGAATATTCTTTTTTTTTGACGATCGAACTTCCTCGAACATTCGTGCGAGGAAGGCCAAAGGTTCCTTCCTTCCTTCCTTCCTTCCTTCTTCCTGCCTTCTTCCTTCTTCGTTTAGACGAAAGAAAATAAAATAAATATGAAGAAAGAAATCTCGAGGTGCGTTCATCTGTCTCCTACCACGGCGTTTGGCACGCTTCGAAAGATACCCAAAGAAACAATGATCTCTGCAGAGTCATCGCTCTTAACAGAGCGCAGGTGCCGGCGAGTTGATCGATCGATCCTTTTACCTTTGCCGGCCGCGACTCGTTAGCGAATGTCGATGCGTTCCTCCTCCTCCTTCTCCTCCTCCTCCTCCTCCTCCTCCTCCTCCTCTTCCGTTTCTTCGAGTATGCATTTTGTTTTTCTTTCTTTTTTCTTTTTTTATGGAAAGAAAAACCGTAAAAAAGGGAAAAACATTCTGAGAGGTGTCCAGTTACCCGGAAATGGCACGGAAGAAATTTAAAAAAGAGAGAAAGAGAGAGAGAGAACGTTCTAATTCAGGTTTGCCACAAAATAAGATACTTTCCGCACGATGAATTCACAATATAAGGAAATTATTCTTTCGAGTTATCCACGAAAAGCGACATTTTATTCGATTTTATTCTAAAGAATTAGGATAGGTATTACAGTTTGCTACTTCTCTAGATTTTCTTCCGCCTTTGGCTTGGCCAAGGACTCCAATGAAAGCGAACTACTCGAAGGAGACGCGTAAAAGCGTCTCCAAAGTTCGTCTTCGATGTCGTTCGCTAAAGTTAACTCAATATTAGGTATGGTTGACTTGCTAGCTAGCTAGCTAGCTAGTTGCTTTGCTGGCTGTTCGGTTACTCGCTTGCTCGATCGCTACCATGTCGTCCTTAACCTTCACGATAAAACTTTTAAGAGAGCCAGCCCCGGGTGTCATGAGACGAAAATACTTTCGTAGTATTCTGTAAAGTAATATCTTTTTATGATCTTTCCCTTTTCTTTATATTTATTTTTTTTTCTTCTTCTTCTTCTTCTTCTTCTTCTTTTGTAGTCAAAGTTCCAAAGAAAAGTTATTACATTTCACGCTTCCAAAGTGTTATATAACTTTTAACAAACGGCAAATCGCCAATCTCTTCTCAAATGTCATAGTTCATAGGAAGTTCCAATGGGAACTCTGTGAGAGAAATTCTCTTATTATTAAATCGTACGTAACATTTCAAAGCGACGAACACCTCACTTTTCGCTAATCTCCAATTTCTTTTTTTTTTCTTTTTCTTTTTTCTTTTTTGCGACGATAACGCTCGCTTGACGAACGCGTTACACATAGATATACGGATGATACGACGATAACAATGGAAAACGCTGACTTCCATGAAAAGAGGAGAATAGTCGTTTCCTATCGCAAGGCAAGACCTTTAAGGCAAGTAGAACAGTAGTGCCCTTCTATTCGTAAACTCGTGTTTCTCTCATTCTTTTTCTCTCTCTCTCTCTCTCTCTTTTTTTTTTTTTTGCCTTTGTGCTTTAGAATAACGAGGAGAAAAGGAAAACGCACCCTTCCGCGTCAAGGGAGACATATTTCACTATTCTCTTGGGTAATTCCTGGATACTTTGTGTCTCTCCCGTCCGAAAAAAAAAAACTCAGAGTCTGAATTTTGAAGAAGGGGATTTTTTTGGTTATTGCTTTTAGGTGAAGATTGTCCTCGAAGATAGCTTCTGAGTATTCAGGTCTCGACATTTTTTTTTTTTTTTTATAGAAATTGTAATTGACTTTCACGCGAAACATGATTTTCCTTTTTATGTTTATTATAAAGGGAGCCGCCATTCCGTTGTATCAATTATTTTTATAATGGATGCATGTGTATAATATAAGTAAATAAGTATATATAATATTTAAATTTAGATAAGTGGTATTAGATAGATGAATAATAATTTAAACAAATAATATCTTAAAACGAAACTTAAATCTAATTTTACAAAATATATTAAAAAAACAGATGTTATTCTCGAGTGACACATTCAACTGATCTCGTAAGTTCAGATAAAACTAAGATGTTCGACAAAGTACGTTTCACCAGTTAAGTTTAGACGTCAACGAAAACTTCCAAATTGGTTTTTCGACGGACACTTTCTCGATACAAACCGACACGTAGTCGCAGTAATGGGAGGACTTTACTTTCAAAGGAATTCGTAGCCTTCTCTTTCTCTCTCTCTCTCTCTCTCTCTTTCCTTTACACTCTGAACACCCAGCTAGGTAGTAACGCTTGCTGATGAAAAACGTGAGGATGCAATCGAGTCGCGCGTAAATTTGCTTGGTATGATTGTGAGTGAAAAGAGGGATCTCCTCGACTGTATCCTGGGGTGGTCGCGTGCGAAATCATTAGGAGAAAGAATGCGAGTAAAAAGGGAGAGAAGAAGGTTACGAAAAGTGAGAAGGAGGAGGGGAAGGGGATATACTTGGGTTTTCCCAACAGATAGCGAGTCGTAGTAGTAGTAGTAACAGAAGCAGAAGCAAACGAACGTATATACCCGTAAGACCGAGGGTATAGTATATACACTTCCTTTTTTTTCGAGATTTTAATTAACGTGGTTTTTTCACTTTTATCTGTTTCAGGAGAGACGATATAATATCATCATCAAGGCGTCTGGATGTCTTTATCGGTTGATGTAACGAATACAGACAAAATAATTATTTATCTAGTAGAGTCACGGTGATGATGTCTTGTTAACAGAAAGAAAGAAAGATAGATAAATCAGTAAAAAAGAAAAAAACAAAAATTCAAGAAAAAGGAAGGATTGATCGGTTAGGTGATAGATAGATGCACCAAAAGGAAAAGGGAAAAAAGGATTTGAAGGTCGTCCTGGCAGAGGAAAGGCAGGCAGCAGCAGCAGCATCGTTTTCTTTGTCGTCATCTTTGTTGTCGAAGTGGTACCGGTAGTAGTTTATCGGTAGTTCTGGTGCTGGTGCTGTTGGTGGTGGTGCCGAGTAAGAAGGAAGGACGTCGTCTTTGAAGGAACGACCTGGAGCGACGGGCGGAAGAGGAGGTGGAGGTGGTGGAGGTGGAGGTGGAGGAGGAGGAGACCACGTCCCTCCCTCCTGGAGCCGGAGGAGGCATGAGGAGGAGAGAACGGAGGAGGCTCTGAGGCTCCTCGCAGCTGAAGACAAGGATGGCACCGTTCTTCACCGCGAGCACTCTCGCGGCCGTCGTACTACGCCCTTTGCTCGCGCTTCTGCTTGCGCTTCTGCTCGCTTGCCCCCGAGCTATACATGCGGAACAAGGTAAGTTTCTTCTTCTTCTTCCTACCTATATCTTCCTTCCTTATTTTGCTTTATTCTTATCTCATTTTTATAGGAGATCAGTTGGTAAGAACGAAACCTCTTAAGGGGCACACACCTAGTGTGACCGCCTAAAAAAAAGGTGATTTTTGGGAATTTTTTTTTAAGAAAACAACTGCATGAAATATTTTAAAATTTAGAGGATATATTTATACATACTTAACAAAAATTCACTAAAATTTTCAAATGAAAAAAGGTAATTTTCAGCGAGTTATTCGCTATCTCCCAAGTCACTAAAAAAAAAAAACGACTGCAGTGATACCGGCCTTCACCGTGGATGAAATAAAAAAAAATACTACAATACTACAATACAAGCAGAAAAAAAATCAAAGCGATCGAATGATTCTTCTTCGAGTTACAACTGCAGCCAATTTGAAAGATGCAGTTTTGAGAAAAACGCGTTCAAAGATAAAAATGATTGCTTTCTAATCCCTGAGCAGAGCTACTCTTTAGAATGCTGTAACTCTAAAACTATTTGAAATATTTATATAAAATTTCAGTATGTTATTTTTAAAGATATACACTATCAAAACAAAAAAAAATCAATTTTTTCAAAATTTCACACTAGGTGTGCCCCTTAAGCGATTCGGATAGTTTACTCGTTTCGTGTCTGTGTCAATTAATATAATCGTCTAAAGTATTTCGAAGATTGATAAAATGAAAGACAAGTTTTAACAGAAGGATGAAGAGAGAGAGAGAGAGAGACAGAGAGAGAGAGAGAGAGAGAGGGAGAGGGAATGGGATTCTTCATTCTCCATCTGAAGGTAATTTCGTGGCGCCCACCCGGTATGATTTATTGTTCGGAGACGCTGAATAAGGAAGAAGTCGTGAGAGAATGAGACCGAGTTCGGCCAAATTGCCAGGACGTTAATTGCGAACACGTTGTTGTTACGCTTACTCTCGTAGGGGATATATATCGTCTCAGATATCGCGTTCAACGTACTCAGCAGCGGCAGCGGCCATTCCGTTATTTCCCGCCACGCATCCGCCTAATCTACTGATGCATTAAAGTCTCCCCGAGTTCTTATTGCACTTCAAACCTCTGTGTGTAGGTTAAGTTAGTGTGTGCGTAAGAGAAAGAGAAAGACCAAGAGAAATTCGAAGGACGGTGTAATCCAATTTCGAGGCTCGTTCGCGACGAACCAACACGGTTGGGACGTCTCGTCGTTGGAATCCTAATCGCGATCGAGAGAAGGAAAGAGAAAGAAAGAGAGAGAGAGAAAGATAGATACTTTTCTTTCTGACGATAAACGTGCCAAGGAACGTTGCCTTTTCTTTCTCTTTCTTTCTTTCATCCTTTCTTTCTATCTCTTCTTCCTCTTTCTCTTCGAAGCTACCTCCTTTAATAGCCCAGCTTGAGTAGAGCGTGCCTCTCATCTCGGTTCTAGTTCCCATTACGGGCTTCCGAGGCTCATCGAGGAGGACGATGAAAGAGGAGGAGGAGGAAGAAGAAAGGGGACGACGATGCCTTCTCGGAGCGGAACGTTTTCCATATTTTAAGCGAAAAAAGGTGGCGCCTGAGGCTCGGCTAGGGTGCCTCGAACCTTACCTCCTCTCTCTCTCTCTCTCTCTCTCTCCCTCCCTCCCCCCACCCTACTCTTTCTTTTTAGCACGGGAATAACGATAATTTCGTAATATACAGGCTCATCTTTCGAATTGGCCTCGGCGAAGATCGTTCGAGGTGCCGGTAAGTTAGTTGGCTGGTGGTTTTGGATTAAAAGAGAACGAATGGGTTCCTATAGTTTTCGACGAGGTGCTGGCTTCTCTTGCAAAGAATAAGAATGGGAAAGGAGAGGAGAGGAAAGGAAAGTAAGACGCCATGACGAAATTGGCCAGCAAACTCAGCAGAGCTTGTTTACTCTACGTGACGCGATTTGAGACGATTCCGTTGGACGAGAGTCCTCTTTGGGATTTCACTGATCCGTCCTCATCCTCATCCTCTTCTTCTTCTTCTTCTTCTTCTTCTTCTTCTTCGATACTCGAGTACTCGATGAAGGCAGCCTTCGACTTTCTCCCACCATTGCGAATCCTTTTCGCGCAAGAACCGTAAAGGAAAAAGATAGGAAGGACGAGGTTGTTCGAGATAATCTTATCGTCTACTTCTGGCAGGGCTCGCGCAAAACCGAGTCGAATGGTTAAAAAGGGTCTTCGAAAGCAATCCCGTGGCCTCGTGTCGCGTCGTTACGAATTCCTCGATCGAGGAAACGATCAACGTCCTTCCCAAATAATGTTACGCAGTGGCTCCCAACGTCTTATCTTCGAATTTTCACTAATTTACATATTTTTTTTTTTGCGTGTGTGTGTGCGTAATTTTCGATAGATTATAATAATAACGGATATGATAATTTTATATGATCAAATGTTAAATAAATATTTCAAAGGAAAACTTCTATTCCATATTTTATATAATTAAAATGAAAATAAATGAAATGTTTCGTAGAAATAAATCTTCATGTTCTCGTTAAAATACGATACGAGGTATCTTACAAAAATCCAATCGAACTAATAAGTACCTTTAGTTCTAACGTCTAGTCGTCGAATGTCAATTACACAAGCCGAAAATGAAATTCTTCGGGGAACGTTAATTGGGAATGGGGTATCCTTTTGGCTCTTTGAAATGCAGATACTACATTTCATTAAGTATTCGAAAGTGGTTCGTCGTCGTTCCTTCCATCGTCAAGGTGTTCGGCGTCGCGTGCGAAGAGGTTAATGCAAACTCCTCTTCGTTCCTCAACGTTCGATAGAGATGACGAGGAACGCATGAAGATGAACGAAGTGAATCCTTTTCAAGTTTTCCTCCTTGATTGATCTTTTTTCAATAAGAAAATATCCTAACATATGAATCTTAACTTTAGAAACGAAACTTATCTAACATCGGATAAAAGCTATCATTTAAAAATATTAAAAATTTCTGACAAGAGATAAAAAAAAAAGAATATTAGTTTAAAAGTTATATTAAAATAAGATTTGAGAAGAAATGTCAACGTTAAATAACATTTGTTCATATAATGTCAAGTTTCATCAGTCTCCATTAGATTCCCATTCTCACCGGCATCAAAGTTATAAACTTTGAAAGCTTTTGAAATTGTTTTACAAAAAATTACTCGTTAGAAACCCTTGATACACACCGCAGACGTATTATACTTAACGTCCCCTTTCGTTTGAGACCGCTATTGTCCAAACATCAAGTTGATAAGTTCGAAGGTCCTCTTGTAAGTGCATCCTCTCTCAGCAAAGCAGTAATAGTACGCTGCTGATGATTCTGATAGTGATAGTTGTAACACACACACACACACACATTCGCAGACGGTCGTTCTCCTGTCAACTTCCTTCTTCGGTGTTGCTACTCCTTCGGGAGTTAGCTAGGATGTAACGCGTTTAATAGAACTTGCCGAGTATCCGTTCCCGGTGGAGCGTGTCTTTCACTCGCTACCAAGCAAGCTTCTCTCGTTAGTTATATCTAAAAGAAAAAGAGAAGGATAAGCATGATGTCTTTTCTCTCTCTTTCTCTTTCTCTTTTGCTTCTCTTTTTCTATCCGTCAACTTTATCCTCTTTTCGTTCTCTCTCGCTAATGTTCTTCTTTTCGTATCTTGAACTCTTATCAACTAGTAACTTCTTCTTCGTCTTTCTCAGGTTTCTTTTTCTTTTTCTTTTTCTTCTTCTTCTTTTTTTTTTTTTTTTATCTTTTCACCCTTGTAACTTTAACCCTTCCTCTCGTTTGGTTTCTTTTTCGTTAGCTCTCGATCAGATGTGCTCGGATAGTTGGAATTTTTTATTTTTTTTTTTTGTTATTCTCTCTTCTTTTAATGACTCTTAACAGATAAGAGATTAAGAAATATTCTATCTAACGCGTCGTTTATAAAAATTAACATGATTATCCGCTAAATAAATCGTATACTTAATTTTATCTTATCCCTCGAACATATGGAAATAATTATGTTCAGAGATAATGATATTGAAATATATTATATAGTCCTGGTGAATGAAAAATATTTCAACTAACATATATCAATATATACAAGATGATTCTGAGAATTTGAACGGATTACTGTTTTTCCATTCTTTTTTCTTTTTTTTAACTAAAAATAGAAAAAATAATTGAGTAACAAATCATATGGTAATTGCACTTCGCCAAGTGCAATTGCACATTATTTGATAACGTAACTCAATTTCTTTTTTATCCACATATGAAATATCTCGTAAAGTATTGACATTTCTATGACCTCGGGGTTAATACTTGTATACGCAGGATAATAAAAGAGAATGATTAAGTAAAAAAAAAAAGTAATTAAGTTTCATTTAAAAATAAAGCGCAATTGCCTTCTAGTAGTTGTATCGATGCATTCGCACAACAAATAAGATCATAGGAAGTTACGACATATTATTCCATATGATTTTTTTTCCTCTAGTAAAAATAGTACTATTTTTTTTTTTCTATTTTTATTTGAAAAAAAAAAAAATTAGTAAATCGTCACAATTCCCAGTGTCATATATATGCGTTTGCAGTAGAGGTCATTTACTCTTGAAAAAAAAAAATAATCAGAAAAACAAGAATAAAGAAAGCCAAAGTTTGTCTGGAAGGTTGAAAAAAAGGTTGATATCGATCGGAGGGATAAGGTTCGTTTATTTTTCCCTGAAAAAGTGGATTACCGTGCGCAACTGATCACGTCGTCGCGGTGTAACTACGTTACATGTATTGATATAGTATATGTATCTAGTCTATGTACTACTATAAGTTGATATATATATGTGTGTGTGTACCTTATATCGGAGACGATCGAAAGCCCTTAATGCGGCACCCCGAATTCGATTACTTCGGCGAGTTACAGGGTAAGAAACCCTCACGAAGGCATCACGGTTCGTTCGTTCACCGCGACCGTTGCCCACAGCACCATAAGCTTCTCCCCTTTCTCCCCTTTCTCCCTTTTCTCGCGAAACGGAA